GTCTGGGAGAAAATTGATTTTTTTAGGTAAACAGTGGTGTGACACGATCGGACGTGTCGTGTGACACGGCCCGTGTCAGAGGGTCTGGGGGTTTTGCGCCATGAAATCTCAAACAGCGGGCTGACACGGCCGGCCGTGTCACACGACACGGCCGGCCGTGTCACACGACACGGCCCGTGTCACACGACACGGCCCGTGTCAGCCCACCTGGGTGAAAAAAATCAAACTTTTTTCTTTGTTCTTACTCGTTCTTAAGGTTCTTACAGAGGTTCCTTGGTTCCTCTTAGGTCCTTACATGATATACACGGCACAACAATATTTAAAAGAGGGAATAAAAGAATACAAAAGCAAAATGTAAAGATAGAAAGGTTTAACGAAATGGATACCCAAGAGCTTTTTATCCTTCTTGCAAGACCCCCACTGATTTTTGTTGGATGCTCTCTTCACTCTTCACTTTATGTTGTGAAGATTCTGCTTCTCAAGGGTCCTCTTGTGTTTCTATGTGACTCTCTTTTTTCTGGTTTTCTCTCTTTTCTATTTTTCTGGTTTTTAGGGTTTCTCTTGCTCTCTCTATTTTTATGGATTTTGCAATGTGTAGTGAATGTCCAAATGTGTAATGACTCTCCTCCTTTTGTTTACAGTCCCCTCCCTTCTTATCTCTGCCCTCTAGGGTTTTTCCTTCTCCCCAAACATCAAATTTTTTCATGAGGTAATGTCTCTTGCCACCTTTTCTCATGTCACTCTCTTTCTTTCCATTTCCATGTATATGCCTATGCTGCACTTTTCTGCACTACTTTCCCATGTTGTTTTTCTGCAGCACTTTGTGTCTTGCACCCCTTTGTTGGCTTGTGTCTTGACAGCTCTTGTGGTCAATGCTACCACCTTTTTAACAGCATTTTGAAAAATCTGATATTTAATATGTAGATGCATCATTGTGGGTTCATTTCCTTGGTCTTGTGACATGTGATGGTCTTATGATATAATACAAATTGTCACTTCTTACATGGGGCTGTTTTGGATTGCATTCATATTGCCCATGGTTGAACATATATGGCCTTGATCTTGAAACATCCCAATGTTGATTTAACTCTTAAGTATTTTTCTTTGGATGTTTGTGGGCATAATGTAGAACATGAAAACTTGGTGTGGCATGAAAGGTACCATAGCATGGATTTGATTAGAAATTTGAATGAAGATTAGAAATAGATTAATTTCTAAACATTACTTAGAGTTGGAAATTTTGTAACAAATGGCATTCTTGTAATTGCATGGAATTTCTCTTTGTAATACTCTTGCCTCCAATCTTGAATTCATGATGGATTTCCCTAACACCATTAAACTTGAAATGGATGAAGTCTTGAATTATGGACTTGTGATCTTGACTCATGCTTTGCAAATTTGCACTCCACTTGATCAAGAATTTGAAACAAAGTTGGAAGAAGTAATCTTGGATTAGGCCTTGCATTTCATGCCCATTAGGAATTATTCTTGAATATCCTAGTATTTTCAAGTAACTTCTCTTTGAAGGAATCTACATGAGTAGACTTTTCCAACTTAGATCAAACCTTAGATGTAGAACATTTCCTCCCATGTAGCCCATGATAAGAAAATTCTCTTATTTGAAATGGAAAACAACGAACCGACCCAAACCGTACATTGTGAACCCACATGCTCGATATGCAATGGAATAATGTAGGATATGACGAATGTGGGGGATGAAAGGCTAAGGGTGAAAATGAGGGTGTGACAATCTTGAACAATGGCTCTGTTGCCATTACCTCCATGATATTTCAGGCGTTCAGGGCACACCTTTCTTATGCGACACTTCTTCTTACAGTGATAACATCGAATACCAGATGTTTCACCACTATAAGACTTCTGTTGACATCTCCGCCCACCGTCGAAGGTTTATGCTCCTTTCGTTCGTTCAAATCCTTAGAATACAAGACAAATTGAACTTCTTCAAAGGTCAGGGACTCCCTTCCATACAACAGAGTTTCTTTGAAGTGAGCATGTGTTCTAGGCAAAGCACACAGCAGCAACAGTGTTTGATCTTCACATCAATATTTTCAAGATCAAGAATCAGCTTGTTGAAGATATCCAACTGCTCAGCCAACACTTTGTCTTCACTCATCTTGAATGAGTACAAAGCTTGCTTCAGGTAGAGTCTATTCACCAGAGATTTGGTCACGTACAAACTTTTGAGTTTCACCCATAATCTCGATATTGTAGTCTCCTTTGATACCTGTCGAAGAATCTTATCACCAAGGCTCAACAATATTGCGTTGTGGGCTTTCTTAACCATGCTCGTCTTTTCTTTTGCCGTTAATGCAGCGTCCATGGCTGCCTCTCCCTTCAATGCTTCCAAACAATCCTACTAAACCAATAGGGCTTTCATCTTCAAGCGCCACAGACCAAAGTCGTTCACTCCCGTGAACTTTTTGATCTCATACTTTTTGAAGGCATCTTCTCCACGCTCACCGCACCAATTTGTTGTGAATCGGATACCTTTAAACAAAGTATAAAAGGTTTCTTAATGATCAAGAAACACACAAGGGTTAGGGTTAACACATAAGACAAGGTAAAATAAGAAGGAACAACAAAGATTGATTATTAAACTGTTTTTCTTTTCTTTCTCTTAGAACAAGATTACAAGTATACAATAATAACAAAATAACCTCTCTCTCTCTCTTGAAATTGTGATTTTATCTTCCTATTTTTTCTTATGTCAAGATTGAGAAACTAGCATCCTATTTATAAGAAAAATAGCACACTAACCTAATGGTCTTTTTAACAATTCTCATTACAAGCTAACTTAGGGTACAAGCTAACTTAAACAATTGGGCTTACAAGCAAGGCCCAATTCAACATGCTAACAACCCTAACAATATTGACTAATGCATGTTAAAACAGACTTCGACTATAACACGCATTACTCGCGAACAGACTTTGACCGCACTAGAGTTCGATCAAACATCTCACAATCTTAATGAATAATAATTATTCTTTCTGATTGATGGTTCTTCATTCTTCACTTGAGTGATTCAACCACACCTTAGTTGGAAGATGATTCTGTCGCATAATGATTTGAGAAGAAAAGAAATACGTGAAAGTGAGTTGGGGAAGAAATGAGAAACTAGAGTTTTATGAGAAAAGAAAGAAGATTGATCAAATTCTGCAGAGGTCTCTCTTTACATTTTTTTAACTAACTTTCCCTGTTATGTACATTTTCAATGATTTGGTATCTCCTTATTTATATATGAGATTATTTGCACATCAAATAATCTCTAAGTAACTAACAAATGTTAAGTTTTAACTCTGTCGAGATTAACTCATTCGACGAGAGCAACAACAACAACATATTTCGACAAGTTGTATTTGACTTTATATCAATTACAAATAATGCAGACTCTGTTCGATTCGCACGCTATACTTAACACAAAGAATTACATATTTAATAGCTACGTTTGATTTAATTACTTTGAAAATTATTTAAGTTGTGAATGTTTCTTGTGATTTTAATTAATACAATAATTAGTGGTGTTCACGAGTTGGGTTGGGTCAAATTTGATAAAATCAATACCTGACCCAATTAATAGTCGTTGGATTGAATTGAGTGTTTAACCCGTACTTTGAAGACTAAACCTGAACCGAACCAACTTGCTCATTAATGAATTGGATAGAATTGAGCTCGTGACTCACCCGCTACTTTTTTAATTATTATAAATAAATAAATTCAATTAACACATTTGTTTTACATAAATATTAAAACATCATAAAATCTTAATATTTAATTTCAATAAAATGTATTATTTAATATCTAAAAATACTTTCATAATCTTAAATTAAGTCCAAAAAAAATACAAAATGTGTATAATATAATTTAAATATTAAGATATATCACTCTTTCAATAAATAAATTTAATATCTTAAATTAGATTCAGACTTAAATTTTTACAACTAATAAAAATTACTATTATATTTAAAAAATGATGTATACAGAATAAACAAAGATCGTTTTAAAAATAAAATAAAAATAACATAACATATTAATGAATTGGGTTTACAGAATAAACAAAGATCGTTTTAAAAATAAAATAAAAATAACATAACATATTAATGAATTGGATTTGCGAGTTCGCTGAGCTTGAATAGATTGTTTCGAATTGAATCTATAAATAATTGAGTTAGATTAAAATAAAGATTGAGTTGAGTGAATAAATTCACAAGTTGACAAAGTGACCCGTACCCATGAATCCTTAAAAATAACTTTGAAAATTGAAAATTGTTTATTTTAAGGATGTTACTTGTGATTTTAGTTAATAAAATAACTCTGAGAAGGACAATACGGGTCTTTTGTTGCATCTTGGAACCGAATATAGATCTTAAAAGGATTTTTTTTCTTAATGGATTTCTAAAAAGAATCCATGAAGATAATATGTAGCCACTCTAAAATGCATTAAAAAATTGGCACTACTAGATCACACAATTTAGAGTTGTTAGCATGGACATCCAATTAAATCCGGAAGCGGCACGAATTAGACACAAGAATCTTTCAAGAGCGTGCAGAAAGATAGATAGAAGAAATTTAAATTAAAGAATAGAGTCAACTACTTAAATTAATACTAATAATAAATTGAACCATAGTTATGTACAAAGTGCTGTATCAACCCAATCCAAATTGTTCCTCTCTCTACCTAATCTTCCTCTCTATGCCACCAAAGAATCATATTCTATATTTCACCTTTTCACATTACAAATTCTTTCTTCAACCAAATCATCATTTAAAATGGAGGTGGTCCATTCCTCCAGCTGTATAAGGTCACTTTTCACAATACCAAATAAATCCAACCCAACCAAGTGAAGTAAAAACACAAACTTATCACCATTTACCTTTTATATGTACAAAGACCAAACCTGAAGCAACGAATAATATGCTATAAAAACTTGTGAATATCTTCCACACTCAAAAAATTCCCCCACGCCCTTATCTTTCTGCTTCAAGAACAAGATTTGATTAAACCCAAATTGTATAGATTCCTTCTCACAATGCTCCCAAGGGACAATAACACTGCCCCGCCAACTCCAACTGACTCATCTTCCCTCTCTGCCTTCTCATGACTTACAATAGGCAACTCCTTCACTTTTAAATTGCTTAACCCAATTTTCTGTCTAACCGACTCAATGATTTTTTTGTCAGCCGGGTATCCGATGGAATCTGTTACGTAAAAAACATTGGCAGCCAAGTCACCTGTCGTAGTTATGTCTGCCCTAGTCACATTCAACCCGTTCTCCCGGAACGTTCTCATCACCTCGGCTAGAAGCCCTTGTCTGTCTTCCGCAGATAACTCTAGTCTAACACCCTGCATTCAAGAAATTAACAATTAATAAATCTTAACGTGTTTATATCACAATCACAGATCACATATTTATAAATGACAATAGTTCATAAAACAAAATTGTAAAAGAAATATCATACCACACATGATCTTCTCTCTATAGCCGCTTGCAAGCATTGAATCACTCGTTGACGCTCCGGTTCTGAACTAATCGGAGTACCATCTTTATGTCTTATATAAAACTCCTGGAATAAAAACAAGTTTAATATCATTAATATCATTAAGGCACATAACCAAGTTATAAACCTAAAAAACATCGCATTACAATGTCTGATAGGGTAATTACCATGTATGCTTGGTCAATCCTTGTGTTGATAGTTGCATGGAACACAACATATTCCATGTCTGTCAAATTGCACACAACATCAAACAACAACTTGGTGCGATCCTTGCACTGGACATTTACAACCGAATAACCCCTTTCTGCCCAATTTTGGACAGTCACTAACGGTATTTCTGAAGTGAACTTCAAAATTGGACTCTTCTGATAATCACGGTCGGCAAACATCATTTGGTGAAGCCTTCTTTCAGGGTGTATAACAACATCAGAAATAGATGTTTTTGCACTCCTAATATCACTATCTCCTTGTAAAACATATCTTAGTCGTGCTTCAAGCCGATTAATTTTTTGAGAATCTTCAATAGATGTCCCGGAGGTGCAGTCTTTAACATAAATTAAGGAAGCAGTCCGGCCATTGTGTGACCAAACTTTAGCCTCAACCACATCGCATTGAAACTCGGCCAATACTGCAAACACTTCGGAGAGAAGACCAACACGATCCATCCCCTTTAATTCCAAAGCAGTGAGACCATTTCTGTGATTGGTTTTTCCGTTATGAATGCTACCAAGTGACTGATACAGCATAAACAAATCTCAGATTCACATAATGAAAATTAATTAATTACTTCTAAATAAACAATTAATAGTAAATAAGGAATACCTGTTCAATATACTTCAAAACACTCTCATCTGTCAACTTATTTCCATCTTGATCCGTAACATGAAAAACTGAGCATTGAACCATAAAAAAGATTTAGGACAAATAGAATCAAAATTATTACAACAAAAAACGAGATTTGAAAACTTTCTTACCATCCATGAACCATCTGCCATCAGAGGAAACATAAGCTTTCTTAATGAAAAGATTCAGATCGCTGAGAATTTGTACTGCTTCCAAAAGAATTCCATGCTTTCTAGCACTATCAAACTGTGAAATTTAACCAAAGCACAAACATTAATAACTTATTTACAGTAATAATAACATGTAAATCCAAATTAAGGAATTTTCTTTGAATCGTTACCTTGACTATAGTTGAATTGGAGCAAACCGCATTGTCAATAACCACTCTGTTTCAACAGTGAAAATGTCATGGTTAGAAAAAATTTAAAAATCAATTCAAATACAAACTCAAAAGCAAAACATTCTAGATGAAAATGGAATTTACTGAGTCACAGGCACGAAAAGAAAAGAAAAGAAAAGTCAGAAAATTGTTAAAATAGAAAAAAGTCGGTGGAGATTAGGAAAATCTACTTTTCTCTCCTTCGAGATTATCACGACTTTCAAGTTCACACTACGGAATCGTAAGATTTATATAATAGAATCTATTAAAAACTGAGGTACGCAAGCATGAAGAGGTTTGAATCTATGCCTAGAGAAGAAACCTCAAAGGTAAAGTTCCAAATATAGAAACCTTTGAAATTAGTAATGATTTCAAAACATGAAACAATTATTAAGGATACTGAAATAATAGATATTCGGACAAGAAGAAAATAGCAGAGACAAATAGAATGAATTATGAACAAAAATGTAGAGCAACACAGAAAAAAAAGAATAAGAATAAACAAACCTGGGAGTGCTCATGCGAAAAACAAGCTTCTCGTACTCATCCGTACAAGCTGACCACTCCATCTTTAGCAGTTTTAGAGGCAAAAGAAATTACTACTACTCTGTTTTAATATAACGCCGCTACCCAAAACGACGGTTACAGACAAAGAACCTAAACAACGTAAATGTTGTGTCTGAATCTGTTGTAGATGGAAGAGAATTAAAATTCCAAACGGTGGCTTTTAATGCATTACACTCCTTCGATCAAATCGTCATAAACCACTCTTACCAAACTCTTGTATTCCCTTTACCTTCTCACACTGCAAGAGTTACTATCTTTTCTCTCTCTTCACTCTCTTCCAAACGCAAACCTTGCTTTGATCTTAACTCTGCCTCTTTCTCCTAGTAGCTGTATATATATTTATTTATATTTACCACATTTCATTCCTACTTTTTTTTTATGAATTTAATATTATTATTATTGTTGTTGTTAGTTTTATTAAATTGGAATCCACGTCTTTTGTTATGGAAAAGTATGACATGGCGTGAATAACGGTTGCCACTTAACCTGCCCGTGCTGACCGGACTTACCAACAGGTCAACTAACATGCCAGGTGGGACGACACGAGGGATCGGCAGGTGTTGCTTTGCGTGTTTTGTACTCAACAGGTTAGCGGCAACAATAGAAAAGTGGTTGTTGATTCTTTGATTAACAAGAAGGGTTAACCTACGTGGCATGTTGGGACCATGGTAACAACCTAGTAATCTTGGTGATTAAGGTGTAATAATATGGTTATACTGGTTAATGACGTACGAATGTGACGATGCCGCTTTTATGGGCTTTTCCTCCGTCCCCTTGTTTTGGTTGGTTTTGTTTTGTTGTGGGTTTGTGTTGTATCTTTCATTCCATTTTAATATTTATTTCTTTCCTTATTTTTTGTCTGTAACACTAAATTTAGTCTTGTTTCATCTTTAATAATCTTTCCTGTTTGTTGAGTTCTCAGTTTCATTACAGATGATTTAAAATTTGTAATTAACTTGTATTAGCATCAACCAAAACCGGCATTAGTTTTTAATTCGTTTCGGAATGTTGAGATTCTTTCTTTTAAAATAGAATCATTCCTATTGCTAATAAGATCATATGTTACCTTTTCAACAAAAATATTATTGGACAGAATTTTTAAACCAGTGAAGCATCAAAAAGGATTGAGAGAAAATGATAAGATAAATAACTATATTATATTACTCTTCTTATTTGTTTGATGTAAATATAATATAGAATTATTTTTCGAACCGAATAGAGAGTCTCTGAATCGAAAAGAAGGGCCTCTGGAAGAGATCGAGAGGAAACATTTAATCACCCAAAATATTTGTAGTATATGGGAGTTATCTTAAGGATGAATATAGTATTGAGAAATGAGTGTCGCTTGTGTGAGGTAACAAGTGAGAGTTTTAAGTTTTACATTGTTTAAAAAAGTGAAGATTAAGCATTTTATAAGTAAGAGGATTCATACACCTATCACCTTAAAGTTTTTGCTGAATATGTGGTGTCTCTCTCACTTTTTTGGCTGAGTCATTGGTCTTTAGGTGAGTGTCTGATCCAATGTGAATGTTTTCTCTTATGATGACCCATCAGTGGTATTAGAGTCGATGTTTCGAGTAAGGGACTGACTATTTGTGTCGAAAGTCTTCCTGACATGGTGGTCAGGCGGCATGTTCCATTGAAATGCTCATGATGAGATAAGGGTGTCTTCCAACGGCGGTACATCCATGTGGATGAAAGAGATTCCGCTTAAGGGGAAGTATAGTGGATAAACTCACGTTTGAGGGGGAGATTGTTGAGAAACAAGTATGAATTCTAAGTCCAACATTGATTAGAAAAGTGGAGGTTGAGCATTTTATAAGTAAGAGGACTCACACATCTATCATCTTAAGGTTTTGCATGAATATGTGGTGTCTCTCTCACTTGTTTGGGTGAGTTTTTGACCTAAAGAAGAGTATTTGACTTAGTGTGAATGTTTCTCCCTAATGATGATCCATATAATAGCCTCTTGTATTTCACACCTAGAGAATATCAATCTAGTATAATTATTCCATTATATAAAGAGCACATGCGGAAATTTTAGGTATACAATTTCAAAATAAATCTTTACTCGCTCATCTCTTTAACATACTGATTTGAGCGTTAGAGTGTTAACTTTGTAAGTCAGTCCCGCCTCCACCGCAGCAGAAGCTCAGATCCACCATTGGACACTGCAACCTTTATTCTCCGATCAATTATGCTTCCGCAACAAAACAGTGATGTTATCTATGAGAATCGACTTCTGATTCTCGCATTTTCCACGATTTTACATATTCACTTCGATTCATCTACTAGAAGCTCCTTCGACCTACGAAATTAGAGTTCTTGAGGTCGAACTTCATATTCACTATCATCGATCTATTCTGATAGCGGATCGACTATGATTTCCATAATTTCAAACCTATGATCTTAAAATCCTTCAACGGTGGTTGGATCTAAAGTCACTCGTTATGTGGCTTTACACGAAACTATCGTCGCTTAAGCAGCAAGAAATTAGTCGCCTCTTCCTCATCGTCAAGGTAATGCAGATCAAGTTGTTGTCAACACTCTGTTGCATCCAGATATACTTTTACATCATATTGTAGGATTTTCTCCATAGCCCCGACAAGGTGAGTCGTCAATCAAGCCTCCAGTACCACCACCGGCCACATTATCGAAAGCATTACCTGATTTCTAGTTGTTGCAGGCTGACCACAAAGTATAAGGTGCCAATGAATTGTTGAGCTGTATGTACAACATCGTTTAGAAGCAAAACAAGGCAATAGAAAAATATTACTTCGCGTGGAAGTAAGCTTGCACAACGCGCCACCGAAAGGAAACACGACACAGGAAGTCGGTTCCATAAGAAACCAAGAAATCGTCTCTGAGTTAACCGCAACACAGTAAGAGGTAGCTCTGAGATCTTCAGACTACTAAAGAAGAAAGAGGTAACAAACTTCTCCTCACTACTTAAGAGGACGGCGGGGCAGTCATGTTCCCGATGAGGAAGAAGTGGATAAGCCTCCAATAAAAAACCTGTAGAAACATCCCCCCTATGCCCTCATTTTGGACAGCCAGATACCGAAATCATTGGAGAAACCTCCAAAATTGAAAGAAAACAACAAGAAAGAAGATTTAGACAAGCATGTACAACTCGTCGATGAACATTTGAACTACTTCCACGTTGATGAGGCAGCCAAGTGAAAACTATTTGCACACACTTTGATAAGATATTCCAAGTTCTAGTTCAAATCCTTACTGGATGGAAGCATTGAGTCCTGGACCAGTGTATGTGAGAGCTTCGTGGCTCACTTCACTGCTTGAAAGAAGTAACTAGTGACAATAGCTTTCTTGAGTGGGATAAAACAAGATAAGAAAGAAAGTCGGTGATCGTACATCGACTGTTTCATATAGGCAATGGTGGTAGTATGAGGAGATAAAGAATGCCTCAAATACTTGATATTTGAAAATTACCTATTATAGGATAGTTCTTTCTGGCAGAAGCTAGGGAGCATGAAGGCCTGTGGTGTGAAAGAATTTCTAAGCAGGCCACAACCCATCAGGAACTTTGAGGAGAAAGTTAACGCCTGGTTCGACAGCCTGACTATAGTAAATGCAAGTTCCATCTTATTGTCTAGGAAAGAATCCCATGCAAAGAAATATAAATCAATTGAGGACCCGCAGTCGGTACGACAAGTACACTCCTCTGAATGCTTCCCGAGAGAATGTTTACTAGAAGTACGCTAACACGGAGTTCTGGAATGTTTGATTCATAAACCCCTTCCCCATCAGAGAGTCGTCTAAAAAATTATAAGACGAAATATTGTTGCTTTTATAAGGGACACAATTACAACACTGATGACTATATTCAACCAAATGATGCCATCGAGGGTTTGATAAAGAGGGGTCATTTGTTTGAGTGTGACTGAGGTGACAAAAGAGGTAAAGAAGAATCGCCTAAGAGCAAATTCCCACCCAAAGTTGTGGATGTTGTGACCAGTAGATAGGAAACCAACGAAGAAGATGAAAAAACAAGCAAGGGGAAATGCCAACACATTGATGTTATGACTAGAGGCACACTCTGAGCGAAAATCTTATCCCGACATGACGGGAAAAATTACTACTTTAATGGTCATACACAAGAAGGGGAAAAGTGAATCAACTAAAGCCCTAGATAAGCCGATGCTTAAATTCCAGGATATCGAGAAAATTGGGTGGGACCTCATCCGACAAGACCCACAAAATCAACTATGTTGATTTATACCATAGGGACGATTCCTTAAAAGACAAACTTACATCAATGAAAGAGTTAAATGTAGGACAAAAAGGTCATCGGAATCACCAAACAACTCAGATACGGACATCGCCGACTAAAGAGGAAGAAAGTGATATTATCCAATTAACTCAAAAGAATACAAATATATTCGTATGAGCATCATCTAATATGCTCACAATAGACCTTACATAGTATGCCATCATCGTCTATAGAGTACGACCTGTAGCTCAGAGTAAGCATAAAGAATGTGAAGATAATAGAGTATTTATTTCCTAATTGGTGAAGAAATTGAAAGAGGTTAGGTTTATACAAGAGATCAAATGCACAACCTAGTTAGCTAACATAATTATGGTAAATAAGACATTGGGAAAATAGATGATGTGCTTAGATTTCATCGACCTCAATCAAGCATGTTCCAAGGACCCTTACCAGCTATTAAGCATAGTAGGTTATTTGACAAGGCCTAATGTTTATGGTTTTTGTGCTTCATGGACGCATACTCAATTTATTATCAAATAAGTATGAATCTTAGTGAGATTTGTCACACCCTAATTTTTTACTTTAAGATCCCACCTCCTTTGTGCGTTTATGGCGTTATTTTGGCTTTATAATTTCATATTCATGTTTAGTGCGGCTAACCAGTTTGTGTAGGAATGACAAGTTGATAATGTTGTTTCTATCAAATTTAAGTGCCTCCGACTATCTCTGGCGCATTATCTTTATCAAGAAGTCCACAAGGTCATAGAG